AGGCTCAGCTGGGGGTGATAGTGCACAGGGCCCTCTTCGGTACTGGCCGCCTGGTCACCGCGGCTGACCTGACGCTGGGGCCGGCGGCGTGCAAGCATTCCTCGCTGAACCCTGCTCACAACACCGTCACCTTCACCGCCGGCCTCCACGAGTGCGGCAGCATCGTGCAGGTAAGGTCTTCTCCCACTCGGCGCTTCCCCCAGTCCCGGGGTCCCGCCTGGCATCCCACCCCTGGAGCAGCTCTAGGCTGTGGGACCGGGCATCACCCGTGATGCCAGGGAAGCTCTGGGTGCCGGACACAGAGCACCATTGAGGAACACCCCAGGGGAAGGATGAAGGGGTATCTTCCCCAAACCGGAGCGTTTTTCCCCAAAGCTGCTTTGCCCTTTCAGCTGGAGACAGGCCGATGGTGCAAAACCCCCATGTCAGACCCATTTCGCTCGTCTTTCGGCCCATTGGGAAGTTTAACTTGCTGAGAACAGAGCAGGGCTCCTCCTCCATCCCTCTTTCCCGGCCTTTTTCCCCCTTTCTTTGGATTTCCCTAGCGTTTCCCAATTGGGAAAGGACAACTACATGCCTGGGTGGTGGGGTGGCCTCTCCACCGGCTTCTCAATGCTTTCCTGCCCAGATCACACCAGATTCAATCATCTACCGCACGCTCCTCAACTATGACCCCAGCCCTGCCAGCAACCCTGTGATCATCCGCAGCAACCCAGCTGTCATCCCCATCGAGTGCCACTACCCCAGGTAAGGGCTCCCCGTCCTCGGTACCCCCTGCCCCGGTCCCTGGAGACCGGCACGGGGCCTTATCCTGATGCTTGGTGATTCTTGGCCAGGAGGGAGAACGTGAGCAGCAACGCCATCCGGCCCACCTGGGCTCCCTTCAGCTCCACGCTGTCAGCGGAGGAGAGGCTGGTGTTCTCCCTGCGCCTCATGAACGGTAGGTGGGAAGCCATCCCGACCTGCGGACGGGGATTTTCCACCCTTTTCCCTAGTGCAGAGGAGCTCGAGGACCAAGCACCCCACTGGGGAAGCCAACCCACCCCATGGCAAACACCAGTGCTGGGCTGAGCCTTGGCTCTGGTCCCACGGGAGCTCGGGGAAAGCTGGAGGGC